TTCTGTATTGTAAAAAAAAAATCATTGAAATATTTCTAATCAAATATTTTTTGTAAGATTTCTTAAAATGGAGAGGCAGTCATCAAAGAGAAACAATAAACCCACTTGTTCTCAAAAAAGCTGCATGTCTTTTAACAAGAAATTTAACAGGCTGAACAGCTGAAACTATTTAAAATGATCAGTGATAGACGCTATTCTTTCAGTGACATTCAGCCCTTCACCTTAGTGCCTATAAATGAAAGGTCCATTTATATTAAGTCAGAGTCATGGTGTCCTCGGTTCACCTATTGCTTTTAGTTAGCTGATCTTTAACATTCCACTGTAAAAGCATGCTGCGCTTTAAGTCCCAAAAGTTTTAACAAGTATGAACATTTCTAGAAGCCTTCTCCCCAAAAAAGCTCAAAGTTTGAACCGTGTTTTTTAAATAATTTATTGAATCACTAAATATAATTTCCTTTGCTGTTAACTGTGCAAATAGAAATCCTTTATTTATAGGTGCCATTATCGGATTTCCAGTTATGGCGCTCAGTTCTCCTTCAGCTTTAGAAGGAGCTTAGCCATTGAAGAACCTCGCTGCGGATGATAAGACTTTATTACACCGTGGCAGAGGGGGCTGTGTGCCAACAGCAGATTGTCTGTTTATCCTATATCCATTTCCCACTTAGAAAGCATAGCCGCTCTCAGAGGATTAGCTACAGTGAGCTCTTTCACTGGGGATTCAAACTCTGGCAAAAATGTTCCTGTAAAGAGCAATAGAGAAAGACATCTGAGTGACACCTCCGTGCTCCTTTTCAACTTTTTTTCTTCCTAATAGTGTTTAGATTTTCACCTTCTTAATCATCTCCCAGGTGAGTGCCCGAGCCGACGGATTATAGAAGCGAGCTCATTCTTTTCAACTTGCTGTATCCAGTAAGCATTTAATTATTTCCGGCAAAGCGGAACAACTTCAAAGGGCTGGCTTGAGAGCACCTCACCTGTGAATACCCAGCCACCCGGCAGCTGCGGCGGCCGCTACATGACATGTGGGCTTCATCTCTAGCTAGTCCAGCCCTGGATGAATTAAGTTATAAAATTTTTACTCCTCTGCATTCTAGACTAAATTTAATTAAGTTTTCCCACTGTTTGGAACAGAGTGTAGAGCGTGTCAGGTATACAATGGCATTAACATGTGGCTACTATTTTTTTACCTTCTTCTTTATATTTCCAATAACTTTAATGACTTTGTTAGCATTGAACTAGGAGATAATGTTTGGTTTATTATCCACTGTGAATTTCTGCTTTGCAAAATATAATGCTTTACCTTCTCAGTGTGATCCACGCTCTTTTATACAGTTGTACTAAAACATGTCAATCTTACACAGCAAGAAGCCAATTTATCACTATGGGCCAGCCAATCCCGCAGTTGTTAATCAAACTAAAGCTTTCCATGAATTCTAGAAACTTCTGCCTGGGAGGCAAAAACTTCTGCCTGGACCAAAGGAAACCATGCCTCTTCCAGTGCTCGCAGAAAGTAGCACATACAGCAGCTACCATGCAGTGCATACATCTAAAGAGAGAATTTTCTTAAATTTTATTCATTTGTTTTAGTAGAGGACAGATTAATTACACAGTAAAGGAAAATTTTAAAAGATAAGAAAATTTGCTAATAGAACAATGAACTGCTATAAAATGCATTTTTGGTGACTGTTACAATCACTCAGGTTTTTACCCCATCAAATCAAAATTAAGAGAATAAAGGTCACAGTGAAAAGTGGGGTTCAAAATGCTGTTACTGATAAATTTTTTTTCACAGAAATTCAGTCATATTTTTCAGTAAAACTAGTTGAATGAATTTAAAATGAAGGAGATTGTCAGTTTGAACAAAGAAATTGTTTTTTTTCCTAAAAATCTGCAAAACAAAACTACTAAACAAACTTGTTTCTTATTTGCAAGTATTTAAAATTTGCATGGTATAGCTACAAAAAGTTCTTGCTTTTGTTTGCTAAAATCCT